TTTGTATTGTTTTTTGGTATAGGCTTCCAATGTTATAATTCGTGTTGTGATAAAGTTTCGTAACTGTTGCAATGTGTGGAAGGGAGATGTTTAGGCTGCCGAGTTGTTTATGCCAATGTCGGTTTGTTCAACCATTGAACTTATTAACAAAGTGAGCTATGAGAAATTCAGAGTCTCAAGCCGTACTACCAAGAGATATGAGAAAATTAAGAGAACTTAAAATTTCCTTTGGTATCGTTTTGACTTCAGCACAAGAACCACTCATCATTGGCTGACAGTTTATCATTAAATATGTTTAGCTAAAAACTAAACGATGATTATTATCATAAAATTGTAGTAAGGCTTCCCATGCTTGGGTGCAAAGTTCCTTAGTCAAAGGAATATTCATTATTAGATCAGAAGCCTCACCCTTCAAGTGTATCTCTAAATGTTGAAATTGAACAATAGGAGGAATCTCAGTTTTTTGGTGAGCCAATGCTTTAAAGATATCCCAAAAAATTTTCCAATCCTCGTATCTCCCTGTAACGTAGATAATACTGATAGTAAGGAGTGAGGTAACATTGTGGAACGCTATCAAAGAGTGGGGTATGGTTTCCGTACCAGGGTTATTTATTGCAGTATCTCGGGACATCAAATAATCGCCATAGTCATCACCAGCTAAATAGAATGCAGCCTCGATTCTATCTAAAAATTCCTTAGTGAAATACTCGTGTTTAACGTCAAGAGTTTCCGATTCTAACAGCTTGGAATGATGGAACATATTGATCTCAAAGTTATTTTGAATTTGCTGTACTCTGGACTTGGCCACACCTCTGGTCATTCGGTTTTGACCTCCTTTTTTAAAATTAGCAAACGAATTGTTTACCTTAGTGTATAAGACTGTTTGCCGTTCATAAAACTTATCCATTTTAAACGTAAGTGAATACTAAGATAATCAGTTAGAGTTAACAAAATAAAGTGGTAGCTCCTAAAGTATAAGACGTTTATGAACTTGAATTCACGTATACATACTTGGAAGGGTCTCAAATAAGTTTTTTTTTTAAGGGTAGGCTGTCGCGTGGAAAATTTCGTCGATACTCAAAAGAATCTGGGGGGAAGGTGTGGTTATGACATCGACCTCGATCTTGACATGCGATTGGGTACGCATCACAGCGGAATCAGCGATCACGGTTACGTAGATGAGGAATGAGGATGGGAGGGACAGAGGCCAAGGTGTACTGAGGGATCGAAAAAGGTAAAAAGGGCAGTTTTATTATTCGGTTGAAAAAGAAAAGAGCTAAGAGAGCAAATAAGGTAAGCGAATTCCTTCATGCCTTGAGGGAGCGTAAGTCGCAAGACTTTTAAAAATTAGGACGTAAAGCCATCGATTGCATAATTTATCAATCGAAGGGTGGCCCAGGTTCTGCTCAACAAGCAATTTCAGGACGTTTGCTCGTGGCTACTCTCTTGGTGTCGCTCATTTTTTCCATCGCACTGTTCTGTGTTCAATCGCTTGGTGCCTTGACTTCTGTGGCTCCTTTCTCTCTCGCTTCGGCTTTTCTTCTGTTCTTTACATCGTTCGTTAATATAAATATTAATTTGAAATCAGTTCACCAAATACCTTTTTGATTGATATTTAAAATTAGTTGAAATTCTATGCCGTGGTAAACGTTTTTAAACATTCTCCTTGGCCTGCTGTTTGCGAAGTTATTCGATTATAATCAAGTTAAGCAACGTGGCGTGCGTTTCTATTGAAGAGTTCTGTGTCACGAAGAGATTTAGAAGTTCTGCTGTGACTTTAGCGGGCTCATTGAAAGTGTGTTACTCAACTGACTTTTACGGGGTTTGATCGTCGTAACTATGAAATAACTCTATAAGATTTTTGTTAATTTTTTAATTGCGAGAAACAAATAAGTAGCCAAGAAAATACGGCATATTGATTTATTTTATTTCAGTTACTTATGATTTCGATTTCATTTTTTTGCTATTGCGTCGTAACGACATTATTTCGATTAAAAGTACTCTATTTTATAGTTAGATAAGATTTTGGTTAATTCTTTAATTGCGAGAAACACATAAGTAGCCAAGAGGATTGGCATATTGATTTATTTAATTTTAGTTGGTTATGATTTCGATGTCATTTCTTATTATTGCATCGTAATGGAATTAATTCGAATAAAAGAACTCTATTTTATAGTTGGATGAGATTTTGAGTAATTCTTTAATTGCTAGAAACAAATAAGTAGTCAAGGAAGCACGGCATATCAATTTATTTAATCTTGGTTGTCTATGATCTCGACTCAAATTTTGATCGTTGTCTTGTAAGCTTATTCAAAAAAGTCGACTACAAAGTAATTTATCACTTCATATACGCACGCATAAACGCGTTGTTTGTCTTCGTACCACATAAGCTTCCAAGTCATCGAGACGATGACACTCGTTTTGATCAAGAGGATTTGGGGAAGCATGATCATATTATTGTTTTGAGATTCTCTGTTTCGCTTATGACTAAACGCTCGAACGATTATCATTTGGGATATCTATATGGGGGGCTCCCGAGTGCATTGGGTAACTTTGTAAACGTATCGTGATAAAAAAGAAAAAAGGTTATTGTATCGAACCAAGAATGGAAATCGTTGTTTTGTATTGAGATCCTACTTCATCGAAGGTAATTAAATAAATCTATGGTGAAAACATACATTCAGTTATATTTTGTATCAAGCTATAATTTTCGCCTGCGACCTACCTCGATCCTCCGGGTCCATAAATATTTTAATTTAGAAACTTAACGTAAAAGAAAAGGTAATTGCACACTTTAAAGACAACGCATAAACTTAAAAACTAAGAAAATACAATAAATCAATTCTTCGATTTTATACAAATATTAATAAGGTAGTTATCGACTAATAAGTGCAATAAGACTGTTTATTATAATTATTATTCAAAATCTCAGTCAGAGTAAATAAATGACACATATACTTTATTTAGTTGAGCAATGGAAGATATGTGTGTGCTCGTTGAAGACGACGTGAGCAGCTAGCTACTCGTAATGGTGGCTCCTCGTTTGTCTGACTGCAGTGGTGATACAAGAGAGAATACGTGGCAGCCCGTTGTGGATACAATGCCAGCAAAGTGAGCACCAGGATATCCACAGCAGCAACAGCCGACGTATCAAGCACGAGGTGGCCCGCAGCAGTATCAATCGACGTAGCGAGCACGAGATGGACCGCAGCAGCAACCGACGTAGCGAGCACAAGGTGGCTTGCAGCAGTTACAGCTTTAGCGATGCGCAAGCACAAGATGGCCCGCAGTAACAGTGACTGACGTAGCGAGCACGAGGTAACCCGCAGCAGCAGTAACCGATGAAGTGAGCACTGGAAGGCTTGCACACTGCTACAGCAGAAGCTAATGGCTCAAAGCAAGCCGTGTGCTATGGAAATAGTACATTACGATACTAGTGCACGAGGAAGGCGATTGACGTGTGAAATTATCAGTTCGTACATGAGCGCTAGCGAGATAAGAGTATATGTGAGTATATAGAGGCGGCGACAAAAGCCAGGGGCTAAGCAAGCCGAGCGCTAAATGAGTGTGCGTGGGAGAAAGCACACTACTACAGCTGAAGCTGATGGCTAAAAGCGAGCTGAGCGCTATGGTAAGGTTTACGTATATTTATATAGAGGCGGCAGCAATTGAACTATAATGAGCAAGTGACTAGATTCTTGAGGGAGCAGGGTTCATGAATTTGACATTCACAAAAAATTGTTAACTAAAAACACTTTACTATGAAACAAAAACAGAACAAAAATTATTTACTGTAGATACACTGAAGCTTGGTACAAATTAATCAAAAAGGTTCCACACGACTCGATCTTCACATAGTTCTCATGCTTTCAAGCGAGAAAGCGAGGCCGAAAACAGAACGTATTACATGGTTCAGCTCTCAAGCTGAACGTTCGCAGCAGACTTACTGCAGAGTAGTCAAGAGCACCCAACCTGACGTACGGATGCGCAAAGTGCTGTAAGTGGTGGACGTCTACAGCGAAAAGAATTCTAATCGTTTTGTTTTGAATGCTAAACTTCTAAATATTATCTTTATAATAAATGAAATCAAAGTCAGCATCAGTATAATTTATACTGATGTTAAACACTAAGACTTACATACACTTTTCCGAACTGTTGTTTGTATCAATTAGTTTGTTAAAAAGGGTATAAATCCGATAGTAGCATTAAATTAGGTGCAAAACTTCGATTCATTGATTAATTTTCATTTCAGTTTATTTGTTTGTTCTTGATTTCATTTATGTGATCTAAGATTTCTTTTGTAATTTGTTCCAAATGAGGAGCTTTAGATAGTCCGTTATTCTAATAATAGAAGAACTCGTGTGCGTCAGTGTATTAAAACTCAAGGGTGTATTTTTTTGAATACGTGGAGTAATTGATAATTTTCTGGCCTATCTCCATGAAAAAATCTAGTTACTGTTAAAAAGTCCATATCAGCTTGCTCGGGCTTATTGTCGTTGTTAAAATTGTCCAAATGTTCTTTAAGACTTTGGTTAAATTTCGTTGTTAACTTTTGTATTTCATGATAAGTAACCTTATCAGTATTACTTGTCGTAGTTTTAGGTTGGTCTTTAAAAGCGTCGTCATTTTAACTTTCGGTAGGTAAAATAGATGTAATGGAGATTTCAGTATTTGTCACGTCTAAGTCTAAACCAGTTTCAGTATGTAAGTCTACTTCTGTTTCAGTCAGTTCTTGTCATAATCCACTTCATCTAGGGTCATACACTGGTGGTTATATTTTTTCTCCTGACGATTTTTCGGTATTACTCAGGTCTTTTAAAAAAAACATATTTTCCTTGATGATGCACCGAGGTTAACAATAGCTCTGACTGATAATTGTGGCATTTCCTTATTTTCAGTACTATTGGGTTTCATTTCGGTGATTTCTGTATTCATACCACTAGGGTATGATTTCCAGGCTACTGATTCTAAAAAACTTACTTTTATTGAGCTAGAATCTTTTAATGTATTTTAGTAGTATTTCCTAATACACTTGGTTGAGATGCAAATGATGTCTGTGGCTGTGGAAACGTTTTCGTTCGAGCACTTTGACTAATAACACTTGGATCTAAATTTGGCTGATTCTTGTTTGTTTTTAAATCAAAGGGTTGTCCAGGACCCCTGGCAAATTTAGATACATATGTTCCTGATTTGGTCATGATCTTAGGTTTTGTTTCTTCCACTGTCTCCTTTAAGGTTGTTGGCAGTGCTTAAGGAAAATTGGATATTTACAGTTTCTTTTCTCTGATTTTGTAATTGGGTTCACCTTTTTTCCTCTAATTATTTTTAACCCACCATAATAACTCTTCATAATGGTCATCAGTTATTTATATCGTTTTCTGCATACACAAAGTGTTCTACTGGATTTCTAGATAATGCATCAGCATTGGTATTAAGTTTTTCTGGCTCGTATTTGAAAGTATATTCATTGTCGGTAAATTTAAACATAGAGCACATTAAATCCTGCCCTGGGTCTTTTTTCGTATGCATCCAATTCACTGGCTCATGATCAGCTATAGAAAAAAATTTATTTTTTAATACGTACGAACGGAAATGATGTATTGCGTATAGTTCAGCCAAGCATTCCTTTTCAGTCGTGGAATTATTTATTTCGGCTTTATTTAGAGTTTTTGAAAGATAGGTAACAGATTGATCAAACACACTGTTTTTTTGACTCAATGTCGCTCCAATAGCGTAGTCAGATGCATCTGTTGTTCACTTGAATGATTTACTAAGTCAGGAAATTGTAAAACAGGCTCTTGACACAGATGATCTTTTAGTACTTGGAAACTCTTTTATCGCACATCAGTACATTCAAATTTTTCTCCATTTTTCATAAATCTGATAATGGCTGAGCTTTTTTCGAAAAATTTTTAGTAAAACGTCTACAATACTCTGCTAGTTCTGAAAATTGTCTAAAATTTTTTATAGTTTCTGGTTGGAGTACCATATTCGCTGATCTTAATTGGTCGAAAAGTAACCTAACTTTACGGTCATTATTAACTAGATCTGTTGCGTAAATAATGATATTATTTTAGTACACTAATATTTCAAGATTCTATAACGTCTTCAACTGAGATCAATTAGTTGTTGGAATATGGCAGGTGCGTTCTTCAAGCCTTCGGGCATTCGCCTGCATTGGTAATGCTCATAGAATATTGTTAGTGCAATTAATTATGGATAATAGAGAAAAAAAAATTTTTTTTAGTCAGCAGATCGGACGTTGAGGTGTGTATCTGTATGTGTGGCTTAAGAGATCACTAATTTTTATCTTTCTAGTATTATTTAATACACAGTGTTATCTTATTTTTTTTAATTTTGCATTTTTCTTACAATAAATTTTTATTGTTTATTTTATCGTTTATTTAATATACATTATGCTCTCCCCAAACACACAGCATATACACGTCCACGCACACTGCACGAAATGGGGTGTTACATATTAATTTTTAACGAGCTTCTCTGAATAGTGTTTATTGTTTCTTCACAAATAGTAGTAAGAGAACATATAATAAACAAACAAATAGTTAGAGACTCAACCACGCTTTGCCACCATTTTTTTTTTTAATAACTATTACAGTCATTTAACCCTACGTTTAATTGAGAACTAAAGGTTGTGGAATGTAGCCTCACACTTTATCAAAGGCTGCGGGACCAGCAGACAGTCCAACTACTTTGTTGTTTAATATTTAAAATAGAGATTAAAGAGGGAAAGAGAAATACAATATGTGTGTGTGTAAGAATTGGGGAGTATTAAATCGATTTTTTTTTTCTGGCTTATAGATTCTGTACCTCTTAACTAAATTAATTGAAACTTTTTTTTTTTTGTACATCTTTATTCAGATTTTACTGCGGATACTATTGGGCCACGTATAATAAACTGATTACCAACTGGACACCTTTGACAAAAAAGCTGTAAAAAAAATAATTTGTTCACACTTGATGGGTGGTAGAAGGTAACTAACTAAAACGCCATGCAAAGAAATGCACTTCATGCAGAGCTTTAGTTAAAAACTTTTTTTAACATGATACGAGGCCAGTACTTCGTGATTTTATGTGTTTATGCTAAGCGACTCGCTTCAGTTATCAGGTGACCCTTTTAAGAGCCACGAAGTTCACAGTCAGCTTTGTTAGGTGATGACTTTTGTTAAGTATGATTTTCTTAAGAGTCTTAAAACTTTATCATTAAAAGAGGAAGTAAATATGATATAAAATAGAATAAAAAAAAAATTTTTTTTATTTACACAAGTTATCATTTAACAAACTAAAAATAGTATCACCTTGTCTATAGCATTATTTCAAGAATATTAAAACACAAATTAATTCAAACAAAGGCTATTTCGATTGTCAAGCACAGAGCCAATGCAAAAAAATTAAGGAATTAGTCAATAACTGCAATGGCACATTGTCATTAGCACAAAAGCGTCATAAATAATATTTTAGATAAAAGTTTAGCCACATGAAGTTTCAATCTAGGCATACTCAATTTTTTTAACTTACCTTGTATTTGGCTTATTGATGCAAAACGTTAACCTTGTCATTTTTAAAGCTTAAAATAAAGCCACTGTGTTGAGAGCAAATGTAGAAGGGTTGGCAAAGCCATGAACTTGAAAATTGTAGTAATGGGTTCAAAATAAGTTCGAAAGAGGTATAATAATTTTATTGAAGTAATAAACCTCCCTTCAACAATAGTTTCAAGTATTACTTACAGATTCAGGTAGTAATTTATCTTATGACAATGATAGTAGCCAGAGTGTTAATAATTTTATTTTAACAACAATAAACACTACAGAGAATCAGCTCAATGGAGAGAGATGGATAGATTTTCTAATAACGAAACCAACGAAATGTTTTTGTTAACAAAAGGCAGAGTATCACTTAGAGTAAACTAAATCTTAAATTTGTTCGTAAGGGGGATTCACAATAAACCAAGCATAGGAATAGCTTTCCGTCTTTTCTTAAACTGCTTAAACTGATTTATGAGGAGTGCCTCGGGTATATTAGCCACACACTAAAGTAATACAAAAGACCATTTCCTTAAAATGAACCACCCTATTTCGTCAATCTAAGCAACTCTCCGCATTTGGTTCTGGATTCTTTGATAGAGTGACCATCAGAAAAACTGTCATTAACATAAAACTCATTAGAAATAATATGAGTCATCATAGAGTGAGACGAAGCATGATTAACTATCACCTGCTTCCGAACGCGTGTGGCAAAATTAGGCGCACTCGACATCCCATACGTGACTGTCGTTAGTAAATAATTCCTTAGTTTATCTTACTTAACATTCTTATTCTTCTTTACCTTGAAGCACTGAAAATAAAGCTGTCCTTTTAATGACAGGCAGTTCTCAGTTAGCAACTCCTTTTATTGAAATGGTGGTATTTCTAACTTTAAAACATGACAAATTATGAAGTGATTGAGTAATCAGCGATTACTGTGAACCTTGACCTACCAAGGCTCTAGCCTTTACTCGAATACCATAGTAATCTACCATCACTTGAAGTATTTTTGTGGTTGCCAATCTTGTTATCCAAGTCAAACTTATCCTTATGTAGACTTGTGTGATACCTCTAATGGCAAAACAACGCAAAAAAACTTAAACTTACATATAGTCTCGTTATGTTTATACAATTATACACAACTCCTTTTGATTCCTAAATTGCCTCTTTTTATTACGCGTTTTACTTTTGAAGTCATAGTAAGAGTGTAAACGATGAGACTAATTGCAAAGAAAGAACTTTTAAGCCTTGACTTTATCTGGTGCTATTGTGGTTTCATTAATCCAGAAAGATTTGTTAGATTTTATTTTCGGATTATCAGAACTGTTATTAGAAGCTGGTTTTTTTAGGAAAGCCTTTTACATAATAGTCTGAGTGTAAATGAACTCATGATTGACGCAAAGAAAAAGGATCCGTAATACTTCCCTGATGTCTTTAACAGTTTTTGATAGTATGGTAATCTAATTTACTAATGATTAAAGCCATTATATTCATTACTTTTTGTCCTACCTTTTTTTTTATGTTATAGTGCTCTACGTCCGGATCCTTTAATAAGGGCACTACTATGGGCACTTAGCACTTGGGAAAGGGACAAGGAAAGGGATGGGAGGCCTCCCATTACTGGGAGGGGGGTAGGGAGAAATTAGACAATTTTTGCTGCGAGAAGGTCGCCTAAACCTTCCTCGAGGAGCATTGTGTGGTGAAAAAGCACATGTGAAAAATTACAGAGGTACTTGCCCGAAAGTCGCACTGGCCAGGAATCGAACCACGGTCTCCCGCGTGCCAATCCACGACCTAGCCGACCGAGCCACCGCGCGCTCGATTTTTTCTATCCTACCTTATGCAATGAGAGTGAATGAGATCTAAAATTCTCTTAGCTACCCATTTAACTTCCGTACAAAAGCTATTTTTTATACTCTGACAGCTTGGAATAACGCCGGTAAAAAAAGATTTGGTGTTGCGAAGTTGATGCACAATAAATTGGTACAGAATGCCGTTATACATGAGAAATGAAATTTCTAAAATAATTGTTGCTTATAACAACGCAGTATGTATACTGCCAAAAAATCTATTTTGAGAAAAATTTGGGATAACAGATAGTATACAAAAAGTTGTAGTATTATACAGTATCAAGCATTAAAGAACATTCAAAAACTGGCTAAAAATTGAGTGTGTAAAAAGTAAATCATTTAGATTAAAAAACTATAACTGCTTTTGTTTCGAAAAATATTTAGAATCAATTTTTTTTAATTCTAAGATTTTTTTTTAGTTTTTAAAATAACTGCATTAATGAAAGATGTATTTTTTCTCCTGGCATATATTTGTTTTAATTTTTTTTTTTTTTGTTGAATAAAATTAAATAATTATAATTAATTTACCTTCGGTTCACTACTAAGATGAAACAATAAAAAGTTAGTAAGCCATTGGGATAATGTCTACTGTTTTTATTAAACAGCGCCAGGATACAAAAAAGACATGCTGTACAAAATCAGGATCTTTCATAGATAAGGGTTTTCTGTTATGATGTTTTATTAATTTTACGTTCTTATTACTAAAAAAGATACATTTTTCTTATGAAATACAATTATTTTTATAATTACTAACTAACGTAAGAATCTTCATTGCCATACAGTTAACTTTATATGTACTAAATTAAATCAATTTTTTTCGCGAATTTAATTACAGAATTGCATTGACTAACATTATTTAGCTTAGACATTTCCATTTCCATTGATTTGAGAATTATTTTACTTCTTTTTCTAGGTGGTAAACTTAGTGTTTCTATTTTATCTGATAAAAGTATATTAATGCTATCAATGCAAAAAGGAGACATAGTGTCTTTAGAATGAATTTTTGATATATCCTTAAGCAAGGTATCATTCTTAAAATCATGAAAATTTTTTAATTGATTATGATTTTGTTCAATAATGTTGTCATTACACTGACAATGAGTACAATTACGATTGAAATAGTAGTATTGTAGACTTTTCTTTAAATGCAATCTGTTTTCCATTTTATGACAGTGGGAGCCTCTTAAAACAAAATTAGTGTCATACAAAGAACTATGTGATGTTCCGTTAACAGTAGAACAAGAATTTGCATACTCTATATTTTTATGTGATTGATCCAAGGAAAGCCCTTTGAAATTTGTTTTTGAGCATATTTTATGAGATAAAAAAGAGTCTATACTATCATAATTGTTACTATCGTTCTTATTTTTATTATTGTGGATGGAAATTTGTTTGACGCGAAAATTATCAAAAATTGCAATTTCAGGTGTGTATGCAGTTTTACTTTTTCGAGTTTTTATATTTTTGTGACTTGTTATTTTTGCGTCTATCTTATTTATGAAACCACATGACCATTCACTATCAATAAAAGTATTGTTTGGAGATTCTTTAGAAAGTGTGTTTTGAACGAATTGTGGCTCTGAGTGATTTTTCAAATGCATTTCCATGGATTTTTTTGAGTTAAACGTATCTTGACATACTATGCATTTATAAAATTTTTCCCCATAATGAGCTGCTTGATGAAGCTTTAAAACATGATTATATCCAAATGACTTATTACATATATCACATGTATAGGGTTTTTCACCTGTATGAGTTCGGTTATGAACCTTGAGTTGTTTTGAACAAGTAAATCCTTTTCCACATAATTTACACACATATGGTTTTTCACCGGTATGAGTTCGCATGTGAATTACTAATTGTCCACTCTGTATAAATGTCTTATCACAAAAAATACATTTATGTGGTCGTTCACCAGTGTGAATTCTCATATGGCGATGAAGTTTACCACTGTGCTCAAAAGATTTCTCACATATTTCACATTTGTAAGGTCTCTCTTTTGTATGGATCCTTCGATGAACACTAAGATTTTCTTTGACGGAAAATGATTTTTTGCAATATTCACATTGAAAAGGCTTCTCTCCTGTATGAGTTCTATAATGCCGAGTTAAACGTGCTGGTACTGTAAATGATTTTCCACAAATATCACAATTATGTAAATTATTGTCTTTTCCACGAATGTCTACATGATTCTTAAACATAGTTATTTTCATGGAATGTTCTACTATAAATAAATTCTTCTGATTATGGCTATGTAGCTTTCTTTGAGTATGTCATTAAATATTATAAAAATATTCCAACAAAAGATTATACCTTTTTTACTTTGAGTCTTGATTGATTTGAAATACTAAATACATATTTAATAAGCCTTTAGTTCTTAATTGTTTGCTCTTTTGTTCTTTTTCAGTGACTTTACCTAAAACAAATTAATAATTTAAATAAAAGATACAATTTTGAATATTTGTTTTTATGTTTATTACATTAAGTTAGTTTTTATAAATATTTTAAATAATGAAGTAAATAATAAAACTAAAAACTAATTGTCTTTTAATTCTTCTACCATAACTGCAAATCTTAAAATATAATTTTGTAAGTACAAAAATTTGAAGCTGCGCTGTAAGTGTAATTAAAAAAGTTTTGCCTTACTACTGACTACTAATTTCATTGACTTCATCATCTCACTTCATTAGTAATATATACGTGTAATTGTTTTATAATAATAGAAAAAAATTAACAAGAAATGTCAATTTAGAAGTATTATATATGACTGTAACCTACTGCATGAGTAATTTAAACACGAATTATACATTACTGACATAATAATTAATTTAGTTTTGTCCACAATCAGATTTGCATACATTAAAAAACAATGTTTTAGTTGGTTTTAATACTTGTGATGATTTTTGATAGACCAAAGATTATTGGTTAGTATTAAAAAAATCAATAGTTTATTGGTAAAATGTACCACATATGAAATATACTTTACACCACTAACTCTACGTTGTTATCATAGTTATTTCAAACCAAATGACATATTTAATAATACCATAAAAAACTACCCTTAAACAAAAGTAAAACTTATATAGGTTTGAGGTTATTGCGAGCATGGATATTACATGTACACCCTAGTTACGTCAAATATTTTTCAAATAGTAAATAAACTTTTGCATGATTTTCAAGCCGACTTTATAAAAAGTAATAAGCAATTAACTTTCTTTATTACATGAGCACCAAATTTTTGCATCGCAAAGAAGTAAGATCAATAGCTATCATGTTAGTAAAAAATTTAAACAAAATTCAATGTTCAATGAAAAAATATCCTGAATGTCATTGAAAAAGCTTTTTAATAAAAGGATCATAAAAAAAGAGTAGTTTAACAACGGCACGTATGGTTTTTATATTTTAGAATACAAATTTATATATATATACAAGTAGGCTACGCCTCTGCGCACTCTGCGCACCAAGCCCCACAAGAGTTTGATTTATTCTGGAAATTACGTCAAAGTAATCAACATTTATTGATAAATAGTATTTTGGACACTATTTTACCTTATATGAACAGTTCTGTTATATCTTTTTAAATTTTTACCTCTGAAAAAAATAGATAAAAAACCAATTCAGATTAATATTACAAGGAAGCATTGACCACGATTGTGTTTAATGATTTTATGACCATGCAGCAGAAAAGTCTGTGTGTCAATTGTAAAATAACAAAGGACATTCTTATTAAAATGTCACTAGTACATTAAGAAAAGTTACACATGAATCGGTTGTCACTGCTGCCAAGGTCTTAAGCAATCACCGTTGAGTAGAACGAAAGTTTGATCAGCTACGGGCGTCGAATACTTAAGGTTTCAAAAGAGCTGGAGGACGTAGTTAAATAATGAACCCCATGTGACTATTATGGCAAAAATTATTGGTGGGATTTCAACTCGCTTCATCTCGTTGGTATCACCGTGGGACAGCGTAGATTTCAACAAACCTACATAACTGAGGGCTCTTATTGTATAGTTTGAGGTTCACGTTTACTTATTTATAGAATTACTATCTAATTTAGTAACTAAAGAGCCCTCGATTTTTATTTGGAAGCATGCCTTTAGTTAGTCATAGAATTATTTACTTATAACAAACAGTCAGACATGCTGTTTCACGTACGGTTAAAAATACTAATTTAGTAAACTTATTCATTTTATTTATCATTTAAAACCATGTACCTAATGAGCCCTTTGTTGTATTATTTAAGATGTATGTTGATTCATTTAAAAAAATATTTATTCAAAACGTGATTTTTTAATGCTCTCTAGTGTGTAATTGAGAAGAAATACTTTTTATAGTCTAATAACAAAAAAAAGTATCTTTGTTGTGAACGTAATAGGCAGCGTTTAGTTATGTATAAAGTTGAACATCCTAAGCGAAAAGTCTCAAAGATCAGTTGTTCTTTAGTTATTAGCACTTTTTTTAATAACCAACACAGTTATTCATTTATTCGAAACTACGTGTCCAAAAGCCCTCTGTCATGTAGTTTAAAGCACGTAACTATTTATTAATAATATTGTTTATTGAAAACAAACTATACAACGTAACATTTGTTATTTTATCATGGGCAATTGTTTACGTATTTAATCACATTAATCATTTGAAATGGAAGTTCTACAGGGACCTCCTATTATGTAGTTCAAACGTGCTTGATTAATTTGTTGACATTATAATTTATTCAAAATTCATCTATTTTCACTATTTCTTGTAATAGCGGGACTGCGTAAGAAAGTCTTTACTTTATTATAAAAAATGTCACAGCTGCAAAATCTAAGGAAATAAATTTTTTTAAACGCACATATTCTTACATTGAAAATTAAACTGACATTGTTTTCAGCTAAATTTTAAAATAACTTTGTTATCAGACGAATCAGACTTACACCTTTTTCAATTAAAATTTAAGTTGGCTCTCTCTTTTGCTAAACTGTCAATGCCTAGATGGTATTTGTACGCAACTGTAGTGTATTTTTGTGAACGTGGGCAAGCGAATGACTCGAGAGCCCTGACGCTAGACTCAGATAACATATGTACATTACGTTGAAATCAAAGGAAGTCAGTTACTTCCTGACTACAGTCTTGTTCACTCATTTTTAAATACACCTTTCCAAACTGAACAGCGGTGAGAAGGATAAAAGGAAAATAGTTTAAACTGTAAACAATTAATAAGTATTTGATTTAAGTAAAAGGTAAAAAGTATACGTAGAAAAAGTGTTAAGAAAGTTATTGGAAAAGGTTTAAAGGGGGTAACAAGAACAGGATGGATTTAAGACTTGAATAAAAAGAAAATAATAAATTTATGCTTTGTAAATGGACGTATATTTATGTTTTTTAAAAAATTTTATTAATAGGAACATAATTATGAAACAATAGGTACAATGTTTCATAATTATGTACATTTTGGTCTTACAATTTTTTATAAACAAACTAATTCAAAAATTCAGAACCATATGTAAAAACAAGAATATTGATGGTTAATTTGTAGGGCACCAGTATAAATCAACATTTCTACCATTAAAGCTCATAATTAAAAAAAAAAATATGTCAGGAAGCGTCTACGGACCTACGGTCGAAACGAAGTTCCATTCGGTTTTTTGTAGACGTTCACTACATGCAGTGATAACGTATACGATAAAATATCAAGTTAGTGAAATAAAACAAAAAAAATTAATGATACAGTACATTTATCATGCGAATAATAAATAGCTATAACTTACAGGAAAATAATAAGCATAATTAAGAAATAGAGAGAGAAAGTGACAGGTGTAGTAGTGTAGAGTAGAGTAGAGAATAGATTAAATAGAATAGAGTGGAAACAGTTACTATCAGTTTGATCATAGTGAGAGAAATGAGAAGATTTGACAAATATATAAGGTGTAGCATAGAATAGAAAAGACGTAATACTAAGGCAGCAGATTGAATTGCTGAGAGTCAGATTGGGCAGCCAAGCCATCCCCGAGAGCAAGGCGAGCTTAAGGTAACACAGAGTGACCGAAAGGATTGTGAGAAAGGAGGTGTACTTTGTATAACGCACTAGATCCATGTACAGAGATAAAGTGTTGGAGACGATCAGAGCAAATGAGCTCACGTGTGTGTGTGTGTGTTTGTGTGGATGTCCGTGTGGATAGGGAGAATATCGAGAGGCTTTATTGAGTGAGTGCAAGCATCTGATTAGCCGTGACGGTTGAGTCATGACTTCACGTCATCGTCAGAACTTTGGCTATTAGGGAGATGTGCGTACGGATAGTAATTAATAAGTAGTGTAGATGGATTGTTCAGATTTTTTTGATCTTATAGGGCAAAATAAAACTTGAATCACTTGATGTTAGTGGTGATGTTTATATTATTGACAACGATTCACCAACGTCCATTGACCTCATCAGGTCAAGTGTGGCTGTGAAGTATGGTTGCGTAGTAGACTAGAAAGATTTTTTACAAAATACATATTGATAGAAACATCTAATGTGAAACACCTGAATACAGAAAATATTGTATAACAGTTGACATTGTCAATACAGTCAATAAATACAGTAAGTACATATGTAGCAATAAATAATAAGACTATAAAATTTTGACTCGAGAGTCGAGCTCTTTGTTGAAGTATAAGTGTATATTGGATTAAAAATATACAGTACGTATTTGAGGAAATAACGGCAGATCGAACACATAATTATTTACCTAGCCCGGTAATTACCTAGTCATTGCCATGTGTGTGTGATCTGCCGTGGTTTCCTTGAATGCGTACTATAATCCAATATATACCTATACTTGATCAAAGAGCTCGACTCCCGTGTCCAATAATTTTATAGTTTTACTATATTTATAGTATTTATTGACTGTATTAACAATGTCAACCGTTGCACAATATTTTCTGTATCCAGGTGTTTTATGTTGGATCTTTCTATTAATATGTATCTTGTGATAAATGTATCTAGTCCACTACGCAACCGTACTTTGCAGCCATATTCAACCTGATGAGGCCAACGGACGTTAAAAAATTATAGTCAATAATATAAACATCACTACTAACATGAAGTAGTTCAAGTTTTCTTTCGCCCTATAAGATTAACAAAGTCCAAACAATCCATCTATTCGCAATTTGGGGCAAAATGGTTATACTATTATCATTATAATAAGAGGTGTGCATAAGATGGTGTGTGTATGTGTGTGTGTGATGTAGGTGAGGGCATTTAAAAGCCAAGCCAAGGAGGAACTCGATAGTGAGGACGATCGAAAGATATAGTAATACAAATATACCTATGGCAGGAAAAGAGTGCAATTATGCATATATATGAGTGAGAAAAAGAGTAGGAATATTAAGAGCGTATAAAAATCCAAATTAATATCGTCAGTGCTTCGTAATATAGACAGAAAGAA